CATTTTTATTTTATGTGTATGAGTGTATTGTCTGCATGTATGTAAGTTCATGCAGATCAGGAGAGGGCATCTGATCCCCTGAAACTGGAGTTATGGAAAGATGTTAGCCAACATGTGGGTGCTGGGAATCAAACCCAGGTCCTCTGCAAGAGCAGTCAGTGTTCTTAACCACTGAGTCATCTCTCCAGCCCTCCATATAGCTTTAAATATTATTTCTTCGCATTATATTTTTGACATCTTGAAAATAAAATACCATGGCTAGATTCTTTTTTCATTATGTGTATTTGAACTTCTAAATGACTCGTGTTTTTGGATGCCCATTTCTTTCTTTATATTTGGGAAATTTTCTCGTATAGTTCCATTGAATAGTTTCTTATAGTTTTATTGAATATTTTGTGTGTGTGTGTGTGTGTGTGTGTGTGTGTGTGTGTGTGTGTGTGTGACTTTAGAATATATATCCTAGGTCCTTCTAGTCTATGTTCTTAAATTTTTCATTGCATGTATTTACTATATGTGGCATATAGTATAAGGACATTTTTATATAAGTACATAAGTTGAACATATTCCCCCATACTACCTGTATTATTACTTGTTGCTATGATAAAATATCTGTCCTAATTTGATTTCTATTGCTATGACAAAACATTTTTGACAAAAACCAACCTGGGAAAGAAAGCGTTTATTCCACCTTACGGCTTATAGTCTATTGTGGAGGAAAGCCAGGCAGGAACTCAGGGCAGGAACTTGGAGATAAAAACTGAAGACTAGACCATGAAGGAACACTGCTTCCTAGTTTCCTCCTCTGGCCTGTGCTCGGTTTGCTTTCTTATACAATCCAAGACCATCTACCCAAGAGTGGCACTACTGACAGTGGACTGGGCTCCCACATCACTCAATAAACAAGAAAATGCTTCACAGAAATGCCTAGAGGCTAATCTGATAGAGACAATCCTCCAATTGAGGTTTCCTCTTCCTAGGTGTGTCAAGGTGACAACTCAAGCTATCTGACACAATATCTGACATAAGTAACTTAAGGAAGGAAGGGTTTATTTTGGTTCACAGTTCATCATGGCTGGGAAGTCATGGCAGCAGGGGTTTGAGGCAGCTGTCCATAGTGCACTCACATTCAGGAGGCAGCTCATTTTCTTCTTTTTCATCAGTCCAGGACCCTAACCATGGAATGATGCCACCCACAGTAGGTCTTCCCATGTCAGTTATTGTAATCCAGGTAATTAGTCTCAGGCATGCCAAGAGGCTTGTCTCCTAGGTAATTATAGGTCCTGCCAAGCTGACAACATCAACCATCAAACTACCCTACTCTCTCCCATGTCACCTCCACCCTTCCCATTAGTTCAAACATTTTTGCTTCATGTTATGCATATGTACATGATTTTATGTATCTTTTGAAAATCTAGGAACTGCATATGAGAGAAAACATATGATGGTTGCCCTTTTAAGACTGGATTAATTCACTTAATATGATTATCTCCAATTGCATCCATTTTCTTGGGAATGACAAATCTTCATTCTTCCTTATGGATGAAAAAATTCTATTGTGTTTATCTACCACATTTCCTTTATCCATTTCTCTGCTGTTGGACACATAAGTTGGTTCTATAACTCATCTACTGTCCATAGTGCTGTGATAAACATTGATATGCAAGGGTCTCTGTGCTATGTTGATTTGAAGTCCTTTGTTTACCTCCATGAATTCTTGGGTTTCATCACTTGATGGTATCCCAGAGTTTTTGGATATTATGATCATGCTCATTAATGTTTTTCTGATGTTGATATTTGAATGCAGTATTTCTTTACTGAAATTTTTGTTAATTTTAATGATATTTTCCTGCATGTCTGAGATATTTTGCATCCACTTTGTTGACCTTATCCTTTATGTTGCTGACTTGCTTCTTCAGGTCTTAGATTGAGTTTATCTGCTTGTTTTTATCCTTGAAGCCACTAACAGTTTTTAGCAGCAAGCCTTTGAAATCTGTATCAGCTTTTTACTTATTTCAGTATCTTTGAATTTAGCAATTGATGAGTTATGATATTTTTGGAGGAGTCATGTTGCCTTGCTTTTTCATGTTCCTTCTGTTCTGACTGTAATTTATGCATCTGTTCGCTTGGATATTTCTATCAATTTTATTTGGAGATCTTCTTATTCAGCAGATCTATTATTTAAGGCTCAATTCCCAGTACCAGCCATTGAGGAGAAAACAAACTGTTGTCACAGCGGTAACTTCAAACCACACAAGTTATAGAAATATACTCCAAATCAGTTAAAACCCACTAACATATTATTAATGATCATAAAATAAACTAGTGTTAAATATTCCGCAAGTTAAAAACTTTACGGCAAATGTTGAAATAGTAAATTAATGAAATAAAGGGAGAAAACAAAGAAAGGAAAAATAGAAAGGAAACATTTTAAATAAATTAAAGGAAAACTACTGGGAGAGAAAAAGGCATCCCTCT